TATGCTGATTCGAAAGCTCGTTGGTGCGAGCCTCGACGTACGAAGACGTGTGCACTATATCGTAAGTCAGGTTGAAAGAAAACATCAGTTGATTGCGGTCGAGGGGAAACAGGTTTAACTGAACGCATTGCGTTTTTAAGCCTGTTCGTGTAGGAGGTTAGATCCATGTTCATTGAAGAGGATGAGGGATCCACAAATTCTCCTGGAAGTCGAAATGCCGTTCCATAAACGAGTTGAGCCGCAGTGTATCCAATGTCAGCTTTCACTGCATTACGAATATCTAGCAAGCCGAGTGGAAGAGCGTCGGTCCACTGTGAAACGTTTGCAGCTGATAGTGAAGCTTTCAGTTGTCGGTGAAAACGTTCTACCAACCCGTTTGCTTGTGGATGGTAGGCCGTCGTTCCTAAACGAGTGATTCGTAAAAGTGTGGTCAAACGACGAAAAAATTCGGATTCAAACTGCCATCCGCGGTCTGTAGTGATTGTTGAAGGGCAGCCGAAGTTTGCTACCCATCATTCGACGAAGGTGCGGGCTACTGTTTCAGCAGTGATGTCTGTGATAGGTACTGCTTCTGGCCATCGAGTGAAACGGTCTACGCAGGTTAAGAGATAAGCGTATCCATTTGAATCTGGTAAAGGTCCTACCAAATCCAGATGAACATGGTCGAAACGAGCATCGGGAGTTTTAAATGAGCCTAAGGGACATTTATTGTGTCTGATAACCTTAGATTTTTGGCAGCTTACACAGGAGCGTGCCCACTCCTTCACGTCTTTGTTCATGCCAGGCCAGCAAAACCGTTCTGCTATAAGCTTGATATTTGCACGAACACCTGGATGAGAAAGTTTGTGCAATGTATTGAAGACGTTGCGTCGATAATGTTTCGGCACGATTGGGCGATCCCTACAAAGTAATGTTACTTTACCTGTCCCCATCTGTTTGATGCGTAGTTTAAGGGTTGTAGACGATAACTCGTTCTGAAGATCAGTGTCTTCTTTTTGAAGCTGGGCGAGTTTAAGAAGGTCGATTCCTTGGAAACTGTTCAGAGAAGTTATGCGAGATTAGGCGTCTGCGACTACATTGTTTGCTCCAGAAATGTGTTGGACGTTTGAAGTAAACTGCAAAGTGTTGTCCAGTTATCAAGACTCAAGAGGTGAGTACTTGTCTGAAGAGGAGCTTAACGAGAAAAATGCCAAAATTTGCCAGCAGTTGTTAACTCATTGTTGTAATATTCCTCCGATCGCGTCTACTGCGATGCTAACGGGCGCTTCAGTGTCCTGATGAGCAGGTATTGTTGCTTCAGCGATAAGTTCCCTAATTGTGGAGAATGTTTTTCGTGCGGTGTCGTCCAAATTAATGGATTTCACATTTCCACGAAGTTGGTCGGTAAGAGGTTTCTTGAGTAACGCTCATTTCGGTATTAATCGTCTACAGAAACTTACAAGGCCGTTAAACGTTCGTAGTTGTTTGACGGTGGTCGGTTCCCGGTAATCCAGAATGGCCGCCACTTTGCTTCTAAGGGGTCGAATTACTTGAGCATTGATAGTGTGTCCTAGAAAGTCTGATGAGTCGGTTCCGATTTGGCATTTCTGAATGTTCACAGTAATACCATGTTTCTGTAGTCAGTCGAAAACAAGATCCAGATGCTGGAGATGCGATTCTCTGTCCGGACTTGCAATTAGGCAGTCATCAACATACGCATGTACGAAGTTGAGACCTCGAAGAACGTCGTCTATGAACCTTTGGAATGTTTGGGCAGCGTTTCTTAGACCGAAGGGCATTCGCTAAAATTCACCGAGTCCAGAAGAAGTAATGATAGCTGTTTTCGGTATATCGTCTGTAGCCGTAGGGATTTGGTTATACGCTTTAACCAAGTCGATTTTCGAAAAGACAGTTGTACCTTTCAAGATAGCTGTCAAATCGTGAATGTGAGGCAACGGGTTTTCGCATTCAACACCTTCAGTTAAGTTGTTCATGAAAATACTGAGGACTCACAAAGGATAAACATGAAGGGACCAGTATAAGCAGTCGGAGTCCTGCCTTTACTACTTGAATGTGAAATCGGAAATACTTACATCTTGATCGATTGAAGGAATGTTGGATCAAGGTCGTGAGGTAGGTTTGAGTCCGTAATAAATTGATCTAATAGTTGGGTTTCTCGTAGCGTTTGAGTGCATTTGGAGGTTAGGTACGTTTCTTTACCTTCAGATTTTCTGAAAAGTTGGGTTCAGTCTTCTTCGAATTATGATTGGGTTCAGTTTACACATGCTGTTATCTTATTTGTCGGAACTGTTCAGGTCTGAGCTCGAGCTACGCTTAATGATCGGAGTATTATGTTTGATATTAACCTACTGTTCTGTACTGCAGTCATTCTTGTCTTGGTTACAGTACTTTTATACTGTGCACATCAGCTGTGAAAGATTGTTCTGCAGTATCGGGGAAGTAGTAAGTGGGAAGCATCAAATTAATTTGAACGTTAAAATGAGTAGAAATATGTCACTAGTTGTAGGTACTTTCAATCGGATTTTTAACCAGTAAATTGTACCTAGTTTGAATTTATGTGTCTAGAGTGTATTGGGAGAGTGCTCCAACGTATTTCTTGGTACATAAACATGCTGCTGTATTGCTAGAACGGATTTGACAGTTGATAATCCTCGTCACTGAGTGTTAACTATAACATAACGGATCTATGTAAGGGATTTCTCACTAACATGCTTTGTAACTAACTAGACCCTGAAAACAGCTACCTAGCATTCAGGTGTACGTAAATTGGAACGTCAAAGTGCCAACTTACTAGTTACCATGATTTTTTTACCTGTATCTTGTGTTATAGATCTTTTTAAGTAAATTACGACAGAAAAACGGAAGGTATTACCTGCTTCAGTTTGGTACCCGGACAGTGTCATAGCCCACACACAAACCAATGATAATTGCTACTACATTGTTGTGTGGCGTATATGTATCTGGTGCCCCTGTGTACTGGTGTTTAAACTTTCAAGTACACAATTAACATCATGTGTCTAAGGCTAGTTGGTTGACAGTTAAACCTTAAGGTACTATCATAATATTACTTAATATCTGACCACATGATGAGTTCACAGACAGCGTTGTTTAAAAACAAGACTGTAGGTCCTACTCAGCTCAATGTTGGTGCATTAGGTAACTTTTAAGTCAAGGTTTCAAACATTAGCAACTTTATGAAATTACACAATTTGAAAGCTACTGTCATTAAACTGCTCAAATTAAAACAGATAGGGTTGAGTTTGGACATACAACTTTTTGTTTGGAACCATTTCATTTGACCACTGAACTACCATTCAACTCGAAATTGAGATAAACGCCTTTGAACTGAATTCAAGTTGACCGTTATCTGTCCTCTGCTCGATTGAATGACAATATAAATATCTGCTTATCGTCGACTTAGATGATTGGAACATGATCTACGTATAATCATCCACGGACCACGTTGACGCGCGATGGTGATTAGTGTAGTAGGTTGGATGGCAGATGGGGAGGCCAAAACAAGGTATGTCACCAGTCCATGAAAACACTAGCTGTTGGACTGGACCATGTAGGTAGGTGCAAACTAAGTGGTTGGGGTCCGCCTGATAATGGTGACCAGTGGTTAGACTTTGAACGATATTACTCTAAATCGTTCATATTGGCGCAGGTGCATTCACCTTTGTCTGCCCTTATATCTGAAGTTTCTAGATTCATCATAAAATTTCTATCGTTTTAAAAATTATATATGATCCCGAACCTCATCTCCGATACCCAGTCTTTTCTATAACTATTAGTCCTGTTATAGCCTCTACTGCTGCCAGATTTTACGTAACAGTTTCGTTTTTCTATGAAAACTTTAACTGACGTACACATGTTTAGGATTCTACGCTGTATTCGACCAACCGAGGTACTGTAATCTTTATGTTCCCACTTCAACTCGGACAAACTAAACACTGAATTTTATTATTCATGACTTACAGGAAGCAACTGTATCTCTACCGTTATGGTCTATTTCAGTCCATATTGCCTTATTTGTTAAACTACGTATGTCTGACATCCCACAAATTCCTGTTAGTCATCAATCCCGTATATAGTCCAGGCCAAAAGTCATTGACTTCAGAGATAAATGCTACGTACTGAAGTCATTACTCTTTTTTTAACCAATACACAATCGTCAGTAGGTGCACATTTACAATTTTAACTTGCCGATCTATTTTACTTGTAACGTTGAACTTAATCTTGATATTACTTACTCAATGTTCTTATCATGTACAAAAATATTCTCCGAATACTTGTAACTTTGTTATGGCGCGCATTTGTAGTTTGGAAGGCCACATAGTATCACCAGCTTTGTGTCCGTATTTATTCGCTGAGTTATACCCTTTGGTTTCATTGACCATATGTCGCAACCTTATATTAGTATAGGGTAATAAGCAATTGTATGATATCTTTACGTCCTAACAGACATTAGATGTTTCAATTATAGTATAGGTTCTGCAAAATGGTCAAGATAAATAATGTTTTCTTCTCGACGAAAGTATTTTGTGAAGCAATAACTCGTCATATTGGATACCCAAGTGAACAAAAGTAACCAATGTACTCTGTCACTACTTACTTACTTACGCCTGTTACTCCCAATGGAGCATAGGCCGCTGACCAGCATTCTCCAACCCACTCTGTCCCACTCTGCCTTCTTTTCTAGTTACATCCAATTCTTGTTCATTTTTCTCATGTCTATCTCCATTTCTCGGCGTAATGTGTTCTTTGGTCTTCCTCTTTTTCTTTGACCTTCAGGATTCCATGTGAGGGCTTGTCTTGTGACACAGTTGGGTGCTTTCCTCAATGTGTGTCCTATCCACTTCCAGCGCTTCTTCCTGATTTCTTCCTCCACTGGGATCTGGTTTGTTCTCTCCCACAGTGCGTTGTTGCTAATAGTGTCCGGCCAATGGATCTGAAGTATTTTGCGTAGACAACTGTTAATAAACACCTGTATTTTCTGGATGATGGCTTTTGTAGTTCTCCAGGTTTCTGCCCCATACAGTAGAACTGTCTTGACATTTGTATTGAAAATTCTGACCTTGATGTTGGTTGACAGTTGCTTTGAGTTCCAGATGTTCCTCAGTTGTAAATATGCTGCTCTTGCTTTGCCGATCCGCGCCTTCACATCTGCATCAGATCCACCTTGTTCATCAATGATGCTGCCCAAATACGTAAAGGTTTTTACATCTTCCAAATGTTCTCCGTCAATTTTGATTGGATTGGTGCATTCTGTGTTGTATCGGAGAATCCTGCTTTTCCCTTTGTGTATATTGAGACCTATTGCTGCTGAGGCTGCTACCACACTGTTCGTCTTCTCCTGCATCTGTTGTTGCGTTTGGGATAGAAGGGCCAGAACGTCTGCGAAGTCTAGATCATCCAACTGCATCTTAGATGTCCATTGTATCCCGCGCTTTCCTTCGGACGTTGACGTTTTCATGATCCAGTCGATCACCAGGAGAAAGAGAAACGGTGAGAGTAAGCAACCTTGCCTGACACCGGTCTTCACTTCGAACGACTTTGTCAACTGTCCTCCATGCACGATTTTGCAGTGTAATCCATCATATGAGTTCTGTATGATATTGACTATCTTCTGAGGCACGCCGTAGTGTCGAAGAAGTTTCCATAGTGTTGTTCTGTCCACGCTATCAAATGCCTTTTCGTAGTCAATGAAGTTGATGTTGAGTGATGAATTCCATTCAATTGATTGTTCCACAATGATTCGTAGAGTTGCGATTTGGTCTGTACACGATCTATCCTTAAGGAATCCTGCCTGTTGGTCACGAAGTTGGGCGTCTACGCAGTCCTTCACCCTGTTTAACAATACCCTGTTGAAGACTTTTCCCGGTATTGAGAGAAGAGTGATGCCCCTGTAGTTATCACACTTGCTGCGATCGCCTTTCTTCAGTATTTTGATCAGTAGTCCTTCTTTCCAGTCTGTTGGTACTTGTTCCTCATCCCAAATCTTATTGAAGAGAATGTGGAGTATCCTTGCAGTTGCCGCTACGTCTGCTTTTAGTGCCTCTGCTGGGATGTTGTCCGGTCCTGCTGCTTTGCCACTCTTGATTTGTCTGATGGCCATGCTGATTTCTTCAATTGTTGGTGGGCCAACATTGATTGGGAGGTCCGTGGGTGCTGCTTCGATGTTGGGTGGGTTCAGTGAAGCTGGTCGATTCAAGAGTTCTTTGAAGTGTTCTACCCACCTGTTTTGTTGCTCTTCAATGTTGGTGATTTCCTTGCTTTCCACTGGTCGTTCTGGTTTGTGGCGATTTCCAGAGAGTTTCTTTGTCGTGTCATACAATTGTCTCATGTTTCCTTCTCTTGCAGCCTTTTCCGCCGTCGTTGCTAAATCTTCCACATATTTACGTTTGTCGGTTCTGATGCTCCTCTTCACTTGTTTGTTTATTTCCGTGTATTCAGCTTGTGCCTTGGTTTTTTCTGCTCTTGTTCGGCTGGTATTGATCGCTGCCTTCTTGTTCCTCCTTTCTAGAATTTTATCCAGTGTATCAACAGTGATCCATTCCTTGTGATGGTGCTTCTTGTGACCCAGGACCTCATGACATGTTGAAGTGATTGCCTCTTTGATCCCCTTCCAGTTGCTCTCCACAGTAGTTCCTTCTCCATTGAGTAGATCATGAAAGGCCTGGAACTTGTTGCTGAGGACTATCTTGAATTTGTTGAGTTTGTTAGTATCCTGAAGAAAGGCCGTATTGAACTTTTATGATATTGTCCGCCCCGTTGTCCAGTGCTTCTTGAGTTTCACTTTCATCTTGGCGACCAGTAAGTGATGATCTGATGCTATATCAGCTCCTCTCTTGGTTCTCACGTCCTCTATAGTCCTCCTGAACGTTTTGTTGATGCAAATATGGTCGATTTGGTTTTGTGTAGAGTGATCCGGTGAAGTCCATGTGGTTTTGTGTATGCGTTTATGTGGGAATATGGTGCCGCCTATGACCAGCTTATTGAAGGCACATAGGTTTGCAAATCTCTCACCATTTTCGTTTCTTTCTCCCAGTCCGTGTCGTCCCATGATGTCTTCATATCCAGTGTTGTCCGTTCCAACCTTGGCGTTGAAATCTCCCATCAGAATGGTCAGGTCCTTTGTTGGGCACTTCTCGACTATTGACTGCAGCCTATTGTAGAATTGATCTTTAACTTCTTCATTGTAGTCGTTGGTAGGCGCATAGCATTGGATGATGTTCATTGAAATGCCCTCTTTCTTTGTTTTAAACGTGGCTTTGATGATCCTTGGTCCATGAGATTCCCATCCTATAAGCGCATTTTGTGCTTGTTTGGACAGCATCAATGCAACTCCTTGTGTATGTGGTGCATTTTCTTCTTCATGGCCGGAGTATAACAGGAGCTCTCCTGTAGTTAGTCGTTGTTGTCCAACTTGTGTCCAATGTGTTTCACTGATCCCAAGTACCTCTAGGTTGTATCTTCTCATTTCTGCAGCAATTTGGAAGGCTCTCCCAGTGTCCCACATTGTACAAACATTCCATGTACCTAAATAAATGGTCGCTCTGGTTGTCAGAAGGGGCATCGGTCTCGTAACTTCCGAAGGAATTCGGCTTTCATCATGAGGCGTCATAATTCTTCTAAATGAAGACCTGACTCCCAGGGCAGAGTTTAAAAGGTTTGAATAATTTTTTCTGGTTAGCGTTTTTTTAGCGAGTTAGTTTTCTACGGGATGGGGACGCTAACCCCATGCCCAACCCTCCTCCTTTATCCGGGCTTGGGGCCGGCAGTAGCCCCCGGAGGGACTCCAGGCGGAGTTACTCTGTCACTACGCTGCTCATTATTAAACGGACGCATTTAGTAGAGACAAAATATAATCTGTTTTCAAGCTTTTGTCTAAGGGATCCAGTAAAATTTGTTCCTTTGACATTTTCAGTTAACAAGGATTTAAATGATATTTCCATGTTCATCAAATCTATAGTTAGTAAAGTTATTTGTATCAGTATAAAGTCAAAAGTGTCTGGTGGATGCAGATTACTAAGAAATATTAGATGGGTATTATTACTCCTAAAATAGGAATGTGATATAATTTAAAAACAGTAACAAATTCAAATTATCAAGGGATTCATCTAACTATTCATTCTCTTTGTCCTTTATCTTTATATTCGTGTGTTTCGATTCCTTTGACCAGTTACCGGAATTTTGACCTTTATTCTTCATTTATCCGCGTTACTTACTGAATAAACAAGAGTCCATTGCATGTTATATACTGGTTTACGTCTTTCAATATATTCTTGGAATTTTCATGTACATAACTATGATAGAAGATAAACCTATTTCTTATCAGGAGAGCGCCACAGAATACAATACACTAGCCAGTAGTAAAATGGATCCAATATACTCTGGTGAACATTGCGAAGCTTCTTCTGAATACGTTACTGCAATTTACTCGTACATGCCCCAGCATTCAGACGAAATAAATCTACGAACGGGTCAAAAAATTAAGGTATTTGTTTATGGTTTTAAAACTTTGCCTAACAGTTGGTCCTTACGAATTCAATTGATACATTCGCTACTAAAATGAGAAAACATAGTAAGAACTTGACTAAATTGCAAATCTGCACAAAATAAGACGAATGGATTCACTATCCACCCTCAGTTTCTAAGTGGCGTGGTATATGATTACTGGGTAGAATTAGTTTGAAACAATTATTTGCCACAAGTCTTCAAGGTATTGACGTCAATCTGTATCTTCCAGTAGAAGTATAGGATTCTTGTTTCTATGGATGATCTAGTTAGGTATTTTGTTGTGCCTTGTACCTTATCCATTGGTTGCTTATTATTCTTGTTATGTCATCCAGATCCGCCTTGTTTGTTTCATACCGGATTAGCAATAATGTATTCTGAAGTGTCGATTCTCTACGGGTTCGATAGGAAAATTCTGAAATCTGAGTGACATTAGAGGTTGGTAGTGATCAGCCGATATTTTGTTTTATCAGGGAGATAAACTGGAGGAGCACCAGTAACTGGATATTGGTGTAGCTAAATTAAGTATACAAAGCGAAGTTCAACTTACTCTCCTTAACAACTTTCAAAGTAGTAATGTAGCTGTGGACACGAGTTTAAACTCTGTCATCCTGAAATTTGTTCAATCAGTCTTCTCCACTTTGTAGTGGGGAGATTTCAGTGAATATAAAGAAGTGCCATATACTATAGAATGATTTCTGATATCTTCAAAGCACAGGATCTTAACGCTATTTCCAAGGTGAATCAATCCCCATGTATAGAATAATGTATGTACATTCCAGTCACTGCTTCTATGGCTGTGAAAAATAGATATACTTCCTAAAGCCTAAAGTTAATCATATTCTTCAGTCTTAAAACAGGTTATAACCTTGTTTTTCGAAACGATTGGTAAAATTTTCTTCTGATGTATGCATGGACGAGAAGAATGTTTCACTTTTTCAGTTCAAAATCTTTTTGTGCTATCGTCTGCCTCGGAAACCCATCTTATTCAAGTAAGATATCAATATATTAAACCTCAACAGCTTAAGTTGTGTTTTGTATTATATTCCTAACAAAAATTTGGTACTACAGGTTAGTGGAAGTTTTCACCACATAACTGAAATGATAATACTGTGAATAAACAACATAAGAAAAGGTCATGTGATCAATAGATAAATAAACAGGGATTGTTTTTACTAAAAGATAAAGTGTATTTAATAAAGCAGTCAACTTAGATTTCATTCAGTTAAGAAGTTACGTTTTAATTTACGAAGAATTCTGGTTATTTCTTGTTACGATCCAATCTAGTGTTTGCTTATAGAATAACATTTTAGGTTTTACGGCTTTTACATCACTTTTCGTTCTACTATCTACAACATTGTTATTCGAGAATTTAAAATCATATGTTGCTAAAGTTTTCGAGTTTGTCACTTCTAGGAAATCAATTCGTGAGTTGATACTCTCTACATTTCATTGGTTCTGGTTTTTGAATCTTTTTAATCTACTACAGATTTTGTCCAAAGACTGTCGACATTCTGGAGCTGAAGGATGGTGGGTTGGCCAAGAACCAAAAACAGGTTATGTTGGTGTGTTTCCTAGTGGATATGTTTTAAATGCAGATGACATTGCAAACAGTGAATCTTCAGGAGCGAATGAAATGAAAGCTAATTCTTTTGAACCAAATAAATGGAATGATGTCACATTTGGGATAGGTAACAATACGGACAAAACTATAACTGTAAAAACAAAGGAAGAGATATCTCTTGACAAAAAGTTACCCGACAGTGACGTAATCCTTAGACACGGTCATGTTAGAACAATTCCTGCTACTGAGTTAGTGCAACAACAGGTGCGTTTTATTGCAAAGTAAAATAAAAAGTTTGTCTAAGAGTATTCAGGCAATATTTATTTGATTAGTGAAATTTTCGCCAGTTGGTCATAGTAAAAGTAAAACCTGGTATAAATGTGTCGGTTTCATTTCCCACTACATCAGCAAAGTGATATAAAGTTGTCATTAATATCAGTGATGGTAGAAAATATTAGACAGGTCATGTGGTTCGAAAATAAGTGAATTAATGTATTAAATAAAATAATTCTGAAACTCATAATCTAATATATGCCACTGTGCCCGATTTTGATCCGTGTTACGCAGTATCTTCAAACTTTGATCAGGATAATTTTCTGAACTCCAGTCAGAAAGTCTTAACTATCCAAAATGTCTCAAGTCAACAGTCGATGACTTTACGAGCTAACTTGTCCTTAGTCTTGCCGACATTGGATGTCGTGGTAACCAGTATTTTGGGATACGTAATACATATCTCAACCAGTTAAGTCGATGACATTTTGCAACCTCATCAATCGATCTACTATTTTTAATTAGTACCTAGCGTCCAACCTTAACACCGCTCAATAGGTTGTCCCATAATGCGAGATCAATGTTTCAAAAAGACTTACGACCAAATATTAGTGACGTACGAATACCTACATTTGAAGGTCACATGCGAATTCGAAATGGTCTAATGAAATACTACTAATCCCAATAAGTTCAGTACTTCTATGAGGAACAAGCGGAAATTTGAATTTAACGTACGTAGTATGAAATTGCATTGTGTTGTTGTATTTATAGTTTTTAGTAAAAGTGAAATCATCATTATAATCATCCAATCTGCATTCAGTGGTTTTTAGTTTTTGTCCAATAGGGAAGCTACACGTCGAGATTCTGGAATGCTATTCCAAAAGATGATTGGATGGAATGTCTCCGGCTCTTCCTGAAATTCTTAGAACTTCCCTGAGTTCATCCGTGGGCGGTCCTCACATTTAGATTTCCAAGAGTAGTAGTGTAGCATTATTTAATTGCCTGAGGCCTTTCAAAAAGTAATTTATACTTTTTCACTGAGATTTAGAGTTTGTCTGTCGTTCGCGTGTATCGGGTATATAGAATGTTTGTGTTGTATCTAAACTCTACTTTTGAGAATTACCCAGTTTTCATTTGTTTGCTTCTTTCTTCTGACGTAGCTGTTGTGGTTTGGACGCCTCATGTAAAGAAAGGTAATAAAGGTGATCAGACGTCTTTAAGTGGACAACAAGCTGGAAATCTTGTAGGGTAATATTCTTCAAAGTTTAAAATATGGTGATGAAATACATAAAATTCATATCTGTTTCCTTAAAAAATTATCGAATGCTCTAATCGAGCACACTATTTGCTTTGCTAATATTTATTGTGGTTAAAAGAAGTAAGTGCTATGGCTAAAAGTTATGAATTCCATTTAGTTTGTCACATACAGACGTATTTTCTTCCTCTTAGTCTTCTCAAGTTTAGTTTTGTTGTTGTTTGGCTATGGTACACATTGATTTAGAGCTTAATAGCATTTTATCTAACGGCGTTTAATGATTAAAATGGCTTGTTTACTGGTTAGTATGGTTTTCTATTAAACCATGCCACATACTAGTTTTGTTAACATATAAATGGGTTGGAGTTTTTTCTTCTATTAGATAAAATTATTTTAGTTAATTAACTGTACTCGTATTATTCACTTCTGTTACAGTTTATTGGCTCAGGAGCATTTGGAAAAGTTTATCGAGGTCTTTGGCGTGAACAGGATATTGCACTAAAAGTATTTGATCTAGCTACAAATCAGGTGAATTTTTGTTTTTCATTAGCCTGATAAATTAAATATTCTCACTAACTATAATGTTTAAAACATATTTGCCTAACTGTCCCTTTTTTAGAAATGAGTTTCTAACATGAAGTCAAATAAGTATTTGTAAATGAGCAGTGAAAATCATCGAGTACAGTTGTTGACATTCAGCGTCTAGGAATCCATACTTTGTTTGTTTGTTAACGAACTGTGTGGCTGAAGTTTCGGAGATTGCCCCCAAATGCCCTGGTACGGCCTAGAGTGGGGAAAGTCCGCTCTCCCTATCGAAATGCTCTCACATGGCCACGCCTATATAGCCTCTGCCGGGGAAGTCCTACTCATTGCCTTATCGTGGCGGGTGTGTTGTTTACGAAATTGAGAGAACGAAAAGCGAATGTCCGGCGCTTTAACCGGGTTGGTGTACATGGAGAGTCCACCTAGGGGAGTTGGAAAACCCTGATTCCAAACCAATGGTGCACATGGGTTTCAATATCCTGAAGGAACAAATGGCGTATGAACCAGTCGTTGGTCACCGGCTACCATGGGACTGCATCTCCTTACGATGCTCCACTGCCTTGTGAATCAAATCTTCAGGTCGAAGGCTCCGGGTGTGGCCCCCTAAGCACATCACGTGCTTCGGTTTGGGCACCCGGGCAGTATCACAGCCCTTAAACATATCGAATGAGATTTGTGTGGCGCATATGCATTTGGTGCCTCCTTGTATCAAAATCTATGTGTTAAAATAGATAATAAATAAATTCGGAGATTATGAAACTCATTAGTTAGGTGAACATATCGTTATACGATCGTGATTTGTTATGAATAGCTCCTTACCGTCCAACTTATAGAAATGGTTTATTTGATTTTTGGGCACACCAACGAAAATGCTTGGTTTCTCAACGCCTAACTACAACGATGGCAGTAATTTTTAAACAAAAACGGAAAAATTTATTGTTAATTTTACTTAAGTATACTTGCGGTAATGATTTCGCCACATCCAACTAGTTTTTTTTTTCTTAAATCTGACATCAAATTCTCATTTTTAAGAAGAGGGAAATCTGAGAGGCCGTCACCAAGTTTTATCAAGTTCATTTATTTAAATCAAACCTTAGTCAGCTGTCAGACCGGACTAGAGGGCGTGAGACTCAAAAATCATTACCGGTAATTGAAAGTTGAAGATCAGCTGCAACCTCGTTCGTTTATGTTTTTACTAGAAATAATCTTCAGCAAATTATTGTTTGGCCCTCGGGCTCACTCCATTTACCAAGTATGTTAAAAGAAAATCACATATAATACTGACAAAGTTCATTTTATAAAAGTATCTGATAAACCTAGTTGTGTTACACCTGTCTTACTTATTCGTTAACACTTCATTGTCATCCTTTTCATAGGTAGACAATGAAGCCTTGCATTTGTGTAGATTATCTCATCGGAACATTGTGAGATTTTATGGGATCTGCAGGTTAGACAGCTCTAATTTCCCAGCACTTGTAATGGAATATGCTTATGGTGGTTCTCTGAACATGGTTCTCAATCAACGACCTTTATTAGGTCCCCTTGTTCTACTTGATTGGGCATTACAGATCGCTAGTGGAATGGCATATTTACATACAGATGCCAGAATTTGTCATCGAGATTTAAAATCATCTAACAGTAAGTCTTTAGGTCGTTTTCGTTTTGAGAAATGCTAAAAATAAGTTAATTTATTATGGTAAAAAGTATTTCTTGTAGGAAGTATTTTCAGTTATTCTCCTTTGCAGTCGGTTTTTTGACTTTAATCTTTGTTTAGGTCTGTTTTGTCTTCGAATGTGAACTCATCTTACTCATGAGGTTAGGTAAATCTTATTAATCACTTTTAAATAAAGGGTGAAGGCATTAATGTTACGAAGGCATATTGATCAAAAGGTTTTATTACAATGTAAACCAGTCATTCAAAGCAATGGATCAGTGTATTTGTTTTTGAATTATTTTCCATTAGAAAATGTTTCAAGTTAAATACTTGAAATCAGGGACTAAGTGATATTGTTTATTGACGTTTACGGTATTCTTCCTTGTTGATAAGTTAATTTTAAGATTAACTATTTGTTTTCTATTATTGTTTTTAGTTCTTATCAGAGAAGCTATTCAAAAACCATTTTCTCTAAATGAACTTCAAAGGTGTACCCTATTGATAACTGATTTCGGAATGGCTTGTCGTTCTAGTCAACTAGCACCACAACAGTCTAAACTAGGCACTGTTGCATATGCAGCTCCAGAAGTTTGTCGTCAAGTTAGTCCTTATTTTCTTATAATTGAATATTTTGTTCTGGAAAGTTGCTGGAATAACTTACTTTAATTAAAACTACTTATCTCGATAATATAACAAAATTGAAAAGCACACTGTAGAACCCAACCACATCTTTGTTTGTGAACGAACAACATGATGTCAGACCTAATGGACTAACAAAATGTAAATATATATGTTTCTAGTTAAATAGAAATGAAAGCATGTTTGCCGTACTTATGATCCGAAAAGCTGTTGTGATCCTGAAATCTATCACTTGGTAGTTTTCCTTGGAATGTTTTTCTATTATCGTATTCAAGCTTTTGTCATAATTATCATTCACTTTGAAGTTCGACATGTATTATTGACTGCTGTGTTGTTTGGATGTTTGAATTTACGTTGAATGAGAAAAGTTGTTTCTTGTAAAACTTAGTTTGTCTTTTCTTGGAAAATATTCAGCTTTCAGTTTTATTTGCAGCAAATTTGTAAGGTCATATTATCCATTCATACATAATATTACCATTATAAATGACATATGGAATGAATGAATAGTCCTATTCAGCCATAATTTGTTCGAATTATTATTTTTTGACTTTAGGAGGGATTTTCTTTTAAATCGGATATTTGGTCATATGGTGTTGTGTTATGGGAGTTGCTTACATTAGATATACCATTTCGCGCAATGGAGCAACCTAGATTATTATTTATTATTGCAATGTATAATTATACCCTGTACATACCACCAGGCGTTCCAGATCTCTTTGTCCAATTACTTAAAGGTTTGTTGCACTTTGGGTTGTATAAGATAGTAATATTTAAGTTGAATGTAAATCATTTACTAAGTATAGGTTGATATGCTAAGCTTTAAGCCATATTATTTGTATGATTGCTAGTCCCACTACTTAGCTGCTCAAACCGGAGTAGATTGAGCAGGGTTCGGATCTACTATTTACTGTTCTTTGATCTATAAGCCTTCAGTTGGTAAATTCCAAATTCACGTCATATGTTCCGATCAGAGAAGGTAGATTGTATTGTTTTGTTCCCATACAAAAATGTCACTAACTTCGGATACATCAACCTGTACTCGTTATCAAAATTAATAATGTAAACCTGTATTGATAAGTATATGGGAGTCAATGCTGTCATTTATACCTATATATACATGCTATTAATTTGTCGACGATTTTCATCAAAATTCATATGGGACTATATTTCTTCTAAGAATATATGACCCAAAATAACCTTAATTTCGAGAAAATTACTACATCATATGTTTATGGAATGTATTTACGATTGAAGGTAGTTTTACTATGACTATCACATAAATGTATGGTATTTTAAGAGACCTAAAATTCTTTATAGTTATCATTCATTTGTAGTAAAATAAAAACAATATGGAACATTCTATTTATTCTTATAAATACAAAATGCTTCTTGTAATCTTTTTCTCTTTAACTTAATTATTGCCAAATTTTATCGAATACGAGCATCGAACCGGATTAAAAATCCTAATTATAATTAATGCTATATTCATTTGTCTTACATATTACATAGAAGTATTAGTTTTGTTGTATTTCTTACGGAAAAGATACTTTCAATCTTTATTACTTTGAATTTTGTTCTTTAAAAGTTTGAACCATTATTTTTCACCAATATAATGTCTGAAAAATCACTCAATTCTGTATTATCTGCTGTCTGTTAGTAAATTAGCATAAGCTGTGTAAATAAATATATTAATATTGATTAACTTGTGTACGAAATGTACAAGATAATCATTTCAACTATGATTAAGATGTTCTCATATCCTAGTATATCATTGAAATTTATCAGGTAATTTCAAAACAAAGTAAGAAATGAAGCTTATTGTATAATGAATGATAAAATGTGGATTATGGTTGGAAAAATGAATTTAAACATCTCTATAAAAAATAAATAAAGAGAAATTAGCATACTCAGCACTATTAGTAATTCTGGATTGTCTCCTGGACTATTCAGGTATTATTTATTTTATCTTCGAAACGGTTACTAGAACAACTGTTTCCCATGGTCGACTATGATTTCATTATGTTTTAGTATAATCATCTGATGCTTTGACTAACTGATGTCATGTAGTCCGTGGTCGTAGGTCGGTATATATATATATATATATATATATATATATATAGGCCGTTTATTGTCTACTTTGCAATTCACATCGTTTTATAGTAGGTCAGTTTAAGTTTTGTTCTATGATGTGTGATTCAGAAATATTATTATGTGCTCCATTTCGCACCTTATTTTTCGTCACATATCTGTTTATAATTAACCGTTTTCTGTACGATTCATTAGTATAGATAATTATGATCATCGAACAATAATTTTTTTGATGCTTAGATTGCTGGTCACCTACTCCTGTTAGTAGACCTAAATTTGAAAATATTATGGCTCGACTTAAATCATGCAAAGATTGCAGTTTTGTAGATTTAGAACCTAGTGAATTAGCTCAAATTCAACAGGATTGGCGTGAACTTATAGCAGTCCACTATAAAGAAGAACAACAAGTATGTTGGATTTATTTATCTTAATGTTTTTAAAGAGAACAATCATTAATATGGTTTGAGTTTATTTATTGCAAATCATTCCTAGTGTCTTTATTCTGTTCAATTTTATAGTTTATCCGAAAAAAATTATTTATGTATTTCATCGTCAAGTTACAGTGGTTTTAGCCTACTATCGATATGTATAATGGTATTTATATTCTGAAAATAATAATAATGGTATTCATGTTAGTTTACAGGCATGATCAGCTTGATATAGATAGTAATATTATAGTATATTGTTTGAAATGCCCTAATTCGAAATTGTTTAGGTAGTACATTTTTCACACGTATTACTTCAATGAAAGGCATCAGCCAGGAACTTATAATTATTTTTAAGTGGACACCCTTTTGATTTATGAATGGTGTATTTAAGGTCATTTATTATGCCATCACGAATTGATCATCATCATCATCTAAGACTTTTATTTATTTAAACACCTAAACATTAGTCCAAGGAAACACCAAATATATATGTGCAACACTTTATCGTTCGATTTGTGTGAGAGCTGGAATACTGCCCGGGAGCCCAGACTGAAGCAGGTGGTTTTCTTAGATGGCCACTCTCCGGGCGTTTGACCTACAGGTCTAATCCACAAGGCAGTGGAGCAATGTTAGGAAATGCAGTCCCATGGTAGCCGATAACCACAATCAATTTATACGCCATTTGTTTCCTCAATATCGTGGAACCCATTTGCACCACTGGTTTGGAATAAGGGTTTCCCACCCTCCCTAGTTGGATCCTCTGTGTCCATTAGTCCGTTTGAAGCGCCGGACACTCGCTTTTCGTGTTGTCACCGTAAAGAAAACCTGCGTCACGTGAAGGTAGTAAGACTTCCATTGCAGTGGCTGTATACGTGTGTCCATATTAGAGCATTTACACACAACCAATGAAAACCCCGACGGCTGACACAGGAAGAAAACGGATTGCAGGGAACCTGATATTCGACGCAGAACGAACAACACAAAAAGAATCGGTACAATTGTCGTTACCATATTGGTAAATTATGAACTTCAAGCATACAGAAATTTAGTGAACCAAAAATAATGATAACCGGCCAGAAAGCAAAGACCATGTGGGAAATTGAATTGAAAAAGAATGTGCAAGCAGTTATCGTTCCTAAAAAGATTTAAGCAGTTTTAATAAAATATGATTATTCTTGAATATGCCAAATATTCAAATGTTAATCCTTGAACCTGTTACTCAGCTTTGCAGTCATTCAATATTTTCATGGACTTTTCCAACGTTGAAATTCGTTTCGAAATTATATATTGTTCCTGTTATATATGTTCGTTGTCACTGTTTAACTTTGTTTAGTACACATATTTTTTCACAAACTTTACTTGGTTCTTTTGTATCCATTGTTTTTTCTGTTTGCACTAAGTTAATTAAGAACAAATGCGATACCTTGTCACTTTTATGTATTGTCATGTTTATAGTATTTTTTACATTTCATATGTATTGGTTAGTATTAAGGAATACAATATGTTTATGATACAAAAAAACTAGTTATCTAGTTACAGATTATTGAGATTTGTCGTAACTTTATCCTGAAAATACTTTTTCGCTCACTACTAAATAGATGTCATTTAAACAGTGTATTATGATTTAATAATTTTTTGTATTGCTCATTTCTTAAAAAAAACTTTGTTAGACCGTAGCTGAAGCACTATCATCATCGTTCAAAAGTGGAAGTTTAGATTTTTCAACAGAACTTTTAACACAGCTGGAAATGTTACGTGATTATCGCGAATCACTGGATAGGGTCAGAGCAGATCTAGTAGAAAAAGCTCATCAACTTCATATAAAAGAGGAATTGTATAATCGAGTGGCTGACACAATGGGTGTAAGTTAATAAAATTGATTACCTTTTTTTCTCTACTAGATGTGGTTTTGTCCATACATATTAAAAAAAGAAAACGATTTGTATATGTTATCCACCAGATTTTGATATGTGGGTTACAGTCCACTAGCCTGAGGTTACTTATTTCCAGACGAATAATTTTGTAATTCATGAGATTTTTTAACTCAGCTGTTGTCCGACTTTGTAGATATTGATTGACCACGTGATGACATTTACAGTCGAATATCAATGAGTATTAACTGTTCAACATTTACAAGGGTGCCTTTGTTAATGTGCCTATTTTCAGTTGATCAAACTAAATTAGAAGTTGAAATCGGAAAAATATGCTTGCTTCAAAGTGTAACTCACAAGTTCTTTGCTTTTGAAAGGGCGTGGATTTGTGTCGCAGGGTTTAGTTACAAATCGCTATTGATCCATTTTTCATTGATTTCCTTACCGTTATAAATCAATAGTTACGTCCTGAATGCCCAGGATTTCTTTCTTTTTATTTTGTATTTTGTCTGGAATTAAAAAACTTCAATGATTACTTTTTATTATTAGTTCGGACTTCGCTAACTCAAGTTTGATGATAATGACTATGGAAACAATCGATTCGTTGTTTTGTTCTGTTCTGTAAATTTCATCCTTATATATTTTCTTCAAATTCCTACTTTTGGCTGTGTTTAAGAAAAACAATACATAGATTGACTATCAACTTATAATACGATGCTATAAAATGAAAACTATTGTAATAAAAGCACTTGTCCCTGTTTCACTGTAGATAGGATCCGAATGGTTACATGACTTATGGTAACGTGTAATGCTGTAAAATTATTGGTTATGCACATAAGTAGTGGATGTTGTTTGCATCGTAATTTCCTCTAGGTAATTTATGTCAGTAATGTAGAAAAATAGAAAAATTGAAATAATTCTTCAGAATATTCCTACATGAGTGTTTTCTTTTTCTGTAACCATTAATTTTATCCTGTCGTATTGTTTTAAGAATGACGCGTTTGTATATTTAATATCAAAATGTATTTGCGTCATACATCATACAATTCTCTCTGTTTAAAAGTGGGAGGATTTCTTCACGAAGCAACACAAAGAATGAATAACACTTTGTTCTGTATTTTTGTGCGTGAATGAAATGTTTTTTCTTTGTGATGTATATCTTATCTATTTTACCCTTCTCGTTTTATCTCTCGTTGTCATTTGTATTCTCGGAAATATTTGCAAGTAGTTTAATTCTTGCCTGTGTAAGTTATCTACGATAACCAGTGTAATTGTGCTACTTTGTATACCGAAATATTGCCAGCTAATCAAAGAATCACGATAGGGGTTTTCAACGCTCACTATTTTTTTTCGTAATGTGACCTAAATACACCTTACGGTAATAATATATATCTATACCATAGTGTGATTTCAGTTAATTTAAAGATCACACTGATCCGGCGATCGATGGTGTTACTGCCTTGACGTGGCGGTCGGGCTTGTCTATTGTGATGAACCAATCGGGCTATACTGGCTAAAACAATTGTTCCTCAAGGTCTTACCTTACCACGCAGGTCGATTGGAGAGTTGTAAGACTAAAAGCAGTAAACCTGAGATCCAAGGGCGAAGCCGTACTGTTGATTGTAAAAGGTGTTTCCCTCAGACAACCAGCATAATAGCGACGCCGCCTTCCCACAAATTAAGGGTGGGGTTAGGAAAGGTCAATCCTAAAAATTCAAACCTTGCTCTTTCCACGGATTTCTGTCGCTGGCGGTAAGGTCTTAACAAGTACGGGGCTAACTTAAAAATTACAAAAAGGTTGTGTGTGACCGGCTTCAAGTAGTTGTCTATTGGACACTGTGGTCATGCTCTCAGGTCACTAAAACCAATTATAGCCCAATTCCCTTCCCAGATACCTCTAGAAGAACCCTTCCGTTGTGTGGGCAACCGAGAAGTGATAATCACCCTCATACCTATAACAACACTCAAGACCAATGTATTCATGATCAATTTCTCTCTAATTTCTCTTAGTCTACCTACCTCGACTATCAACTCTAAACTTCCTCCTCAAGTACCAACATGACCAACGATTTTAGTGCGCGAACTACTGTTTCAGGTCTCCTGAAACTCCAACCCAAACTACACATCGGGACTTTCAACGTACCCTATGTCAAATCGGCCAGCAGGCCTCCTTGGCTAGAACCCTAGAATCTCGTACCATTGGTGTATGCTGTGTCTCCAAAATGTGCACACAAAATCCTAGTGTGGTCATCCATTTGTCCTCACCTAGCCGAAACGTTGGACAGACGAAATATACCCTCCGTTTATCTGGCGACCTGACGGCAAGTTCTCGTGAACTGGCGAGTGTAGGCATAGAACTAAGTATGGGGATAGAAGAAGCCATGTTGGTAGATACAAACTACTTGGTTGGAGTCCACGCGACTATCGTAACTAGTGTTTGGAGACTCTGGATGACATGGTTCAGAATCAATCATAATGGCGTAGGTGTATATACTCTTTGTCTTCCCTTAAACCGTGAGATTAACACTACTTTATACCTTGCTTTATACGAGCCAATACTTTCTTCCTGTATCATATCTTTATACACAATCTTTCTTTTATACATTACTGACATTGAAGTGACTACTTTTATGAATATGGTGTTCATCTTGTGTTAATGAGGTGTGGTAACTTGGACTGATGCATATATGTGCCTGGTCCTACATTTTAGATGACTGATTGACGATGGTGTGATTCAGTAATAAGGACTTGGTTGCACGAGTGATTAACATCCAACGACTAATTTTAGTACTTGACATAGTCCTATTTATTAGTTTTATCATTTAATGGTGTCATGGCAGCGTTTCTGACCGCAGTGTTAAAGTGAACGATTTCATTTACCATACAAATGTTAATTAGTTGTGAAACGCAAATAACTCCAGGATATATGTATTTTAGATTCTTGATATTTTGTAAATGGTCTCTAAATTTATAAATTCAGGCGCATCATCAAACTTTTCTAATATTATGTAAAAAATGTTATGTATACCCGCAGAATACAATACTTAATGGTCATCAAAACTTATTAAACAACCTAGATAGATTTATAAATCCGAAATCTGTTATTTCTACCCAAATCAGTAACTCAATTTAAAATTATTTTAATAATCGTTTATTGCTTGTCATCGAGTTTTTTTTTACTGAATATTCAGCAACATTTTATGTTTTTGGCTGTACTGGCTGCTAATCATTTTAAAGATCCTACTCATAAAATTCAAACTGCTCAACCCAAACCTCCTCCACCTAGAAAACGTCCGTTTGTTCGTAGTATTTTCAAGCGATGGGGAACTAATGGTAATCCATGTTCTACACATAATGACTACGTTAATTCAGCTACTTCGTCCACTAATAATTTCCAAGTAAAGGATCTTAAACGGTCAATTAATTCTTCACAATATACTTCTAATAATCGTTCACATTTGAATGTAAATACAAATAATTCTTCAGATTTGAATAATTCTTTTTGTGATGAAACTCAATCGATTTCGCGTGACACATCCAGTCGAGTTGGTTGTAGTCAAGGTGGAATACCTTTAATTTCACCTCCCACAGATATGAAACATGTGGTTCATGTGGACTCAGATTGGTTTACTGGTCAAGGATTATGCGAGTCAACGATGCGGTTATTTCCTTGTAAGTTTATTTTGCATCTGTTAAATTATTTCCACTATATGATACTTATAATTTCAATGTTTAGCACCACATAACTTCTCAGGGTACTTCTTAAGAAAAAGAATGTTTTGAAATACTATTTCGCTATCTCGGTTTTATTTTAAGGAAGTTTAATAAAGTATCACATTGTTTTACATTCCAGCTGCTAAAATCACAAGCTCTTCATTGGGTTCAAATACTGACAAATATCGTAATATGTCACCAGGTCATTGTTACAGTCCTCATATAAGAACGTTTGTGAGCACTAAGTCGGATAGTAATATGACAGATAAATCTAATCCGAAGTCACCACGTATTTATTCTAGTGGAAATAATATTACGGATCTTCGATCACGTGAACAGCGTTTTGTTGATGTCCAAACAAACTCACAAAGAAATTTGACTCGGTTGCCTAGGAAACAAAATTTTATTCGGAAATTTGAAAGTATGTTTAATTTTTATTACCTGAGTGCTGTTTTAATACTGATTTAAACTCTTAACTATGTATTTTTTTCCTTTATTATAAATTGATGGTTCCGACGATTATCTACTTGTTTCCTTTGCAAATGTTATTTTAATTCCTGTGTCTTTTGACGTTGACAGTCTTCCGCTTACGGTGAATACTGATAGGAAAGGCTCTGACTTTCATTCTTACCGCATGTTGTCTTATATTTTATTTATTTTTTCAAACACATAAACATTGGTACAAGGAGGTACCAATAACATATGCGCTACACAAATCATTCGATTTGTGTGAAGACTAGAATACTGCCTGGACGCCAGAACCGAAGCCATCTTTTAAAGTAATAAATAAGAAATATCTATCCTAATAAACTAGTCATATAATGATTTCAGTCCACTTTTGAAAGATGATTGTCATGGAGATAGGGTTTTTCATACCACTGTAGTTTTCCGTTGACGCTTGCAATGTTTATTAGTGAAAACGTTTGTCGTATAACTTCTCTTCTTCAAATAGAAGAGTTTTTCGCTATCGCGTAATACTTTAAAGACGTATCCTTTACATAATTTATGTTCTTTCCGACTAATCGTTAGTTTTTACTAGGAGACGGTAACTTCAGCTGAACTTGACGAACTACTGGTTCGTATATATTTGAATTCGGGTTAAGTAATTGTGGGAATGTCAAGCGTTACTACCGTGGAGTTAAAATCGAGTTGGAGAGAAGTAAGATATGAATCTTCAGGCTAGTGGTTCTTGAACCATTAAGCCTTCATTTTACATAGACCAAAGTTGTTAGATGCCTTCGCTGTTTCATCTTGATACGTACATCACTGGGTAGTTTTTTTGAGATCCTTGAGATACTTTGGTTGGTTCTATCAAGTTATGAAACTTCTGTCATCATTGAGATGTCCATCACAATTGATTGATCACTAGGTGGTGGTCAATTTCATCTGTGTTAAGTCCTTCTTAGTGTGGATCAAATGCTATCGACCAGTTCGCAATGTGACCACTAGTCTAGGTGCCTCGACATTGGGTGCACTATGTTGAGATAGAATGATGGTTGGAGGTAGTCAACAGGAAACCCTGGACCCGAATTTTGTGCTATTTGACACTCGTCAGCAAAGCGTACCTGTAATCTTGAGGGAACTGCTGCTCCCTGACGGATTAGATCCCGTGTCACCCAGCTTCACAATCAGAGACGTTACCACTGGGCTATACGGGCCACGGGAGCACCAGTCCCCTCAAAACCACAGGTACACCTTGCTGACGAGTGTCAAATAACACGAAACCCGGGTCCAGGGTTTCCTGTTGACTACCTCCAATCACCACTCTATCTCGAGATGCCCATCACTTTATCAAAAAGTTAAATCCAAGTTCAATTTTGATCGTTAGTTTGAATTTGAAATAATCCCAGCAAGTGATAAAAAATAGTCATCTTCATTTAATCGTAATGGGTTTTTTAATACTTTTTACTCCTGGTTGTAGCGCGTTAAATCTATTGACTAAAACATCTGGTTTTGATTTTGCGTAAAAGCTGCCTAGATCTGGAGAAGTCATTAGTTGTTTCGATTCACGTGTATTTGACAAAAAATATGCTTATGATTTTCAAAACGTTAAATAATGCCACCACTGATCTATTTTAGATAACATCTATTTTGAATACCTCAGAAATAATGCCGTAGACCTTGCTTATTTGTATAACATTTTTATCACTTGGAGCAGTTTCTCAGCCACGACGTCGCCTGTTCGAGCACTTCACTTACTCCAGCTCGACCAATTTCATAGTATCACTAGTCCTCACAATTAAAATGTTGCTGCAAGTCAATCACACAGATCTGTTCTGGTATGTAAGATGACAAACAGTTTCCTATGTTATCGAAATCTAATTGACTTTACGTTGTCATTGCAACTTGTTGATTTTTGTAAAATATCAGGTTTTCATTATTTTTCAATATATTCTACTAAATTTTTGATTGTCATCCTGGTATCATATTTTCTGAATCTTAGGTAAAAACAATTTAGATTTCTTACAAAAGTCAAGTAATCACTCAGTTGGGTTTAGTAATTTTTTCACGCCGATTAACTCCTGTTGCTATGATACGAATAATGACTTACATCGTAGTGAACATTCTCAGAGTGGATATCATCACTGTAGACCCATAAAACCCATCATAGGAATTGATAATCGTATGCGTAATAATAATAGTCCACCGTTTTTTGAAAGACGCCGTTCAGCTTCTGGGTAAGCGTTTTTTCGAGTATTATCTTGTAATCTTGGTATAAGATTTGTTTTATTGAATGTGGTTCCGTAAAATTACGACTTTTTTAATGACTCTATCGTCTCAACCTACCTGAAATAGTAATTTTAATTTACAATGCAGAATATCCACAACATATTTCATTGCAGGTAAGCTTAATTCATCAGCAATGTAAAGTTTAGTGACTTGATAACTTGATGTTTTCTAATATAACTTCATTTCGTTATTTCACAAATTCTTGCATATTTTGTCTTCCCTTAAATCCTAAGTTTCTCAGTCAGTCAGTCAGTCAGTCAGTAAGAACGTAGAATTTTGTACACACTGAAATCAGTTCGAGCCGCCATAACACATTAACACAGAGATGCAGTTGTCGATTCAAATACCATAGTCGTAGGGGTAGTAAGAGTATAAGCAGTAATCGGAAAGATTAAGGTTTAAAGATGTTATTCAAGGAGTATAATCCAATGAAATAAATTTGGAAAGAGGAAAACAAAAAGGGACATGATAAATTCAGAAGATTAGAATTCGGGGGAACATAAAGAGTGGATGCACCTGCACCATTGCAAACGATTTTGAGTCATGTCATTCAGGGTCTCTAACCATCGGTTGCTATCGTCTCTCAGATCCCAACCAGGTAGTCTACACCTACGAACATGGCTCAGTCCACTTGTCAGTGACTTCATAGATTTGTGCCATGTTTTGGTCTGACCTCCCCTAGCTTTCTTCCAACCTACTCCTACACCACAAAATATCGCTCGTCGAGGCGGTCGGTGGTTGGACATACGTAACACGTGTCCCAGCCATCTCAACTGATGAAGTTTCATTACTTCATCAATTGGTTTGCCATCCTTACCTAGTACCCGTTTCCTTACAACTGCGTTACTTACTCGATGGTCCCAGAATATACAAGCAATGTTTCGAAGACGCCTATGATCAAATACTAGTAACCTATGAATGTCCTCTACTCTTACCGGCCATGTTTCACTGCAATAAAGTAGGACGGAATGAACTGCTGCACAGTAAACCCGTCCTTTTGTTGGTAGATGGATATTTCGCCCACGCCATAAATGACGCAGGTTGGCAAAAGCTAGTCGAGCCTTTTGTGTCCGTGCTGAGATTTCGTCACACACCAGACCACAAGGGCTGATGAGACTTCCAAGATAAGTGAAGCGGTCGACACGCTCAACTACTTCACTCCCTATCATTAGTTCGGGTGTCGATGCTACCCAATCCTGGAGTAATATTTTGCATTTCGAGAGGGAGAATCGCATCCCGAACATGCTTGCATTGTTGTTTATAGTGGGCAGAAGACTCTGCATTTTGTCAGCGTCTTCACCAAATAGAACTGTGTCATCAGCATATTCTAGGTCAAAAAGGGAATCTCCCGGTAGAAGTTCAACCCCTGGAAATTTAGATGAGGAAGGTGTTATCTCTAAAAGCACGTCAACGACAAAGCTAAACAAGAGTGGAGAGAGTGAACAGCCCTGACGAACACCACTTGAGGTGTTCAATTCTGATGACAGTTCGCCATAAGCTCTCACTCGACCAGTTGTGTTCGAGTAGAGAGCCTTTATAAGGTAATGTGCTTCTTTGGTACTCTTTTCCGTGGCAAACACTGCCATAGAACTTCACGATCAACCGAGTCAGATGCCGCCTTAAGGTCGAGAAATACTACGATTGTGGGACGTCTGAATGTGTGTCTATGTTGTAGGCCCTGACGTAGTGTGAATATTTGGTCTATACAACCACGTCCAGGTCGAAAACCAGCCTGCTCTTCACGAGCTTTAGTTAGGCGCTTCTTTGGTACTCTTTTCCGTGGCGAACACTGCCATAGAACTTTACGATCATCCAATTTCTATGTCACGTTTGACTAACTGAACATTATAGTAGGTCATTTTTAAAATTTATTCCTCATCCACAATAAGATTTTAATTTACATTCACACCAACGTTTTTAGTTGACCAACTTATTTCACACAAAGAGAAGATGGCTCAATCTAACTATCCATTTTTAGAAAATCAACGTGGACAGGTCAATACTTTAGTTATTTTAGTTATTGCCCTATGCAATACAAACGTGGTTTGATAAGGTACCTATTCGTATTTGTACAAATGATGCCATTGATGATGATGTTAAGTTGCTAAATAAAACATTAATGGAAAATGTCTATCCTCTGAAATTCATAAATAGGTGAAAAGTTCATGGTACAGCGAGACCTACTGTTGCCTTAGTAAAAATAAAGCCTATCTACATCACCTTACCATTCAGAGGTGATTCAAATAGCCTTTTACTGAAACAAAGGCTTAAATCAGCCATCAACAAAACGTATTGCGCAGCAAAGGTCATTATCAAAGAAAGAATAAGGTGTATGCTTCATCCAAAACCTAAAAGACATGAAAACGGTTGTGTCACATCCCACTGTGTTAACCAGTTTAAATGTGTGTGTGGTCACACATACATAGGGAGGAGCAATCGTGATCTCAAAATTAGGGTGTGTGAACATGTACCAAAATGGTTGCAGAAACAAATACAATCAAGTGACCCAATAAGAACAGAGGATATACACATCGTAACAGGCCATAAAATTGATCTTAACTCGGCTTTTGTGTTGTTGTATAAGAGTGTAAAAGGGCGTATACTAATGTTTATTGAAGCCTTAGCCATACGAAAATTCAAACCCCCTTTTTGTATTCAAAAACAGTTTGTTGCCACCTTAAACCTACCCTGGTAATATTGGCTTATTACCCAGAGTGATTAGGTTTCAAATTGTGTTCACATTATTATTATTACTTTTATTATTATCCTTGTCTCCTCTTACCTCATTAGACCACTGAGCCGGCATCCAACGGTGGTTAAGTGCTCGCGCGCGAAGCCAGTAGGGCCTGGGTTCGAGCCCCGCGTGGTGCGGGATCGTGGATGCGCACTGCTGAGGAGTCCCATACTAGGACGAAACGGCCGTCCAGTGCTTCCAGGTTTTCAATGGTGGTCTAGCTTCAACTGACTCATGATTTCAACAAGTATATTTGTTGATAGTAAATTTTTTCTTTCTTTCTATGATAAACTTACTGTAATGATCGCTCAATGGTATATATATATATATATATATATATATATATATATATATATATATATATATATATATATTAATTCCATTGTTTTACTATTCACTCTTCTTTATTTTATTGATAATATCTATTGCAGACCGGTTACCTTTTTTACTCGGTATCCTAAAATCAACGATCAGCTCAAGAGTAATCCTGATGAAAGTTTACTCGAAGGGAAACTTAACGAATTACTTTGTATTATTTGTGACCCTTCTATGCCGTTACTAACATCTGGTTGTACTCAACATTATTATGGAAGATCTCTGTCTACTACAACACCCCCTACTGCTTGTTTTAGCTCAGATATTACTGAAAGTTCTTATTTCTTGAACCCCACTGGAAATTCAACTGTTGAAAATGTGTTGTTGTCAGCATTTCGTCTTCTAGCTTCCTTTTGTTTTTGGGGTGTTGAACCTGATATTGATGACGGGAAAGCGAATTCGTTAATTCCTCTCTATTCTACATCACGTTCGTCCCATAATTTTGGAAAGATTTATCCTGTTTCATATTATACCTCACAATCGAGTCAGAGTTATAGTAGACAGAAGAATTCAGTGAGAAATGCGGCTAACTCATCACTGTTATTCGGACACAGCGAATCTGATTTTCAGCATGTTTTCTCAGGTAATTCAGTCTGTCCTATTGAAAAGCGCAAGTATAAATTTTCAATTCAAAACACACGACGTATACAGAGCGCTGATCGTCGTCGCAATTATAAATATAATACTTCTTTAAAATGTCCTGTTTGTGTAAATATGGGCCTTGACTTTATCCATCCATGTGAAAAGTTTCCAGATCATCAAGTTGAATTCGGGGTAAGAATCCAATAATAAAGTCCTATTTTTTATCCATCAGCTTTTACCTTTTACGTTTTTGAAACTGTATGGTAAATTTTGGAACTGTTTGCAATTAAGATTTAGGTTATAAAAGTTCAAATCTTTTTGGTGTTGATCTTAAGAACTACAATCATTTAATCTCTTTCATGATATATACATCGTGAATGGATTGCCTGGTTATTGTCATCGGTCACAATCATTTTTAAGCAGACTCGGATTACTTGTTGTTTAATGGCAATATCGAGACAATCCGCTCAGGATGCACGTTTACCAAAAGAGTCTGGCCAATTACAGTCTTTAGCACCGACAACATGAAGATCCAAGCTTTTAAAATAGAATTTTAACTCATCCCTATTGTACAAGGTATTGTCTATCTTGAGTCAGTAGCTATGGCGATAACGCGTCAGGCATTTAAAGTAATAAAGTATTGGGTTGAAGTCCGTAAGTGACGAACAACGCTGGGATACATATATGAAAAATACCTAGAATTATAACAAATCACATGCTGCGTATTATGCTGGGCATAGTTTGCGTTAACTTAATACAAGAATATCGTATCTTTAATAAACATCACTCTCAAATAACTAATATTATGTCAGATAAAATATCACACTGGAAAATAAAACAAATATTTCACTGAGTAATTATTATACTGAATGAAAAACGGCAACGATGTTGACCAAAAATCAAAATGAGTAAAAGACTGTAATTTTGTCGTTTTCATCCGGTCATATCAAAAGTTCTCATCTGAATCAAACATAATTTCAACGTAATTTTGAGCCATATTTTTTCTAAGTTTTCAAATAAGGGATCGCGTACTTGTAAATATTTTGCAGAGCGTAAATGAATTAGAGGACATAGTTTTATTAGCTGACAGAGATGATGTAACATCTAATCACAATGTCTGATGTCCTGGACTAAACTTTGCATTCATTTTAAAGTGTGCGCTTTTGGTATCCTATTTTAAACTATTTTTGTTTTTAGTATTGCTGATCGTTTGGACATCCAATATACTCTTCTCGAGCATTATGTACCTGCGTAAAAATCTCAGTATATATTGTTCTGTATTATTGAACGTCTAAATAAGCAACTATTTTCGTCTGTTAAAATCATAGGTTTTCGCGCTATATTTGTGTAACTTTTCCATGTTTGTGTATAGGACCCACATTCGCCATTTCTCGGTATGCTGGCAGGAAGTGGAAGACGACCTAATCCATCTCCAAATATGAAGGAAATAAATCATTCCAATTTTCCAATCATCCCATCAAATGAAATGATTTCAAGTGATAAGCGAGAAAACTATTTCACTTTTCAACATGATAATTTTTTGAAAGATATCAATCAAAAAATAGGTGGGCAACAACAGTGTAAGCAAAACAAGCGCAGTGATAATAGTAACAATAATTCCCAGCAATATACTCATTGTAGCTTATGTAATAATAATCAAATGGAAATAGTTGAGAAAAATGAATCCACAGGTAACTTAAATAATGCATTTTACTGTCCTCATCTTTCTGTTTGCATTGACTATTGTCAAAATAACACACGAAATAATGACATAGATGTAGCCACTATTAAGACAACATTGCCATACATACCATCTTCACATTTAGCACAAAGGTGGTCATTTGAGCATAGTAAAGAGTTACATAAAGATATATGCTCTTCATTCTGTTCGTTTTTATCGTGCCGAAAATTGTCAATTGATTGTCAGTCGAGTATGATTTCGGATTGTTTAAGGTCAGTAGATAAACATTCAGTATCTGAGTCTTCTGGTCATTCAATCGAAAGAAATTCTACTAATCAGTTTTCTCATTCTCTCGTATCAATGAATCCTGTTGGTATGTCACGTGATGCGTACTTAAAGGTGAGCTTTTTTGTAGACTATTTATCGTTTATACAACATTTGGCTCTGGGTTTTCAAGTCATTTTTATGATTATAAAATCAAACACTGTCAAATAGTGGTAACATTATGTTTATGAATAAATTCCTTATTTCTTTTGAGGAATTTGGACTAATAGATAATTTCTTGTAAAATGAACAGTTCCTTTTTTGGGTTCTATTGATTTTGGATTTTCATTGTGTAAGCGTATCGTGTCAGTTTGGTTGAGTATTTAAATGTTTTCATTTTAGCATTTGAAATCAGTCGCGTTAGGATTCATCCGTCTTAACATATTTCGGTTCTCATTTGTGTGGAAGATACTTTCTAATTTAGGCATAAGATAAACTAAGAAGTTGACGCACCAATCTACAAGTAACTTCCCCTACAGAATCAGTTCGAGTTATTGTTTTTTTTTCTCGTCATCAATGAGTAGTTGTACAGAATTAGTGATACCCAAACTCGTGATATTTTAGGAACAAAGGAAATCCAGCAAAGTTTGTTAGTATGATGCTTTCTAGTTTGGAATATTCATTTGACTGTTGTCTGTAAAAGCGTGTAAAGAAATGGCCCAATATAATAGTCAACGTTTTTTCAGTAGTTATCTTTGTTCATTTACATAAACTTCATTGCAGGCAACACAAGACGGTTTTCTTAATCGGACCATTTATGAACCATCTGAAGATCCTGAATTTTGTTATTCCCCCTATTCAAACCAGACATCTCAATCTAATTCTCTCCAACGTTCCAGCGATAATCAGTCTTTTTCTAATTCTGGTGTTTATTCAAATATTCATGCATTGTTCATTGAGAACGACTCAAAATCTGAATCTGGATCAGAGTTTGAAAGTTATGATGATGCAAATGAATTAGATTATCCCAATTTTATTTTACATTCCTCTTCTTCACCTCCAAAACACTCTCAACAGCCCCAAAACTTTTATTCACCTTCAAAAATACATTTAAATGATTCAGATAAGCCCCCAGAAAATAATGACTACTCCCACAATCTTAATGTAAATATTGATACCTGTCGAGAAGATTATGATCGTGTAACTCTTGTGCCAGTTGAATCCGGGGAACTAAGTAACGTAATTCAACCATATTCAGATAATGAGGGAAAAGGAGAGGTTAGTTTTTAGTACACTTGCTTTATTTATTCAAATATATGTCCTTCTTGCTTCCATTACTTAATTATTTAGATTTTTTTGGATAAGGTTTTTAGGATAACTCATATTTACCCAAGTGCAATTCTAGATTAATGTCCTACGATATTTTGTTTCTAGGGTTTTATTTTGTGATCCTTTTTTTCTATTTGAGTATGAAATCATTGTATCAAGTGTTTTAGGTCATTTACTTTTCTATAAGGAATATGGTGTTACTTTATACATGCTGATGTTGTTGACTATTGGTGTTTACTTTTGCAATATTCTTTTAAAATTGTAATATGTGAATCAAGAATCGTTTGTTATATAAAATCAAATAACATCGTTAATGTTGCGATTGACTAATATGAAGTGTTAACTTGAATCAGTTTATAAGCGAAATGATATGGTTACGTAATTTCTGATTTTTATTCCATTATTTTCTTGCCCACCCCATGTTGACTATATTTATTCTGATCATTTATATCAATTTCATTTCGCTTATAAACTGATTCAAGTTAACACTTCATATTAGTTAACCCCAACATTAACGTTTTGCAATATTCGTCAAACATCCTAACATTTATACCCTTTCTGGTTGTCCCTATTCATTCGTTTTCGATCCGGTACCCTGATAAATCAATGAATTCGTTGAATGTTGTGAAATGATAATGCAATATGACGAATGGATTAGGTTGATTTGCGTTAGATGTCTAATTTCTTATCTCCAAGCCTGTTTCATAATTTACTCAATATTAAGTAAACAAATAAATTAGATCCGATCATTAATATATCTATACTGTTTAAGACATTTATTACATATTAGTAAGAGTCTGTGATTTTTCATATTTGCTATTCAGGACTGCAGTTAATTGGTCTCTACTAACACGTGCATCCTGAATAAATTGCCTCGATATTGTCATGTAGCCACAATTTTTGTTAATTGTGGATTATGATTAACAGGTTTTTTTAGTTAATGTTTACACATGATGGAAGATTATTTGTTTGTTTTGACCTTTTGAATAATAATTTTTTCTCTCCTTATTATTTTTAAAATCAATTATGCTTAAAAGCATAAGGGAGACATCGTCTAACACGGCGATCCCCTGCACCAAAACAACAATGTACTCAAATAGACCATATTGCCATCAGTCATCGTTGGAGATAGTCTATAGAAGATTGCCGCTCAGTCTGGAATACCTGTTTGGACTCCGACCATGTGCTTGCGCCTCACTGGACGCAGGAGAAACACATTAAGAAAACCTATTAGAGTCGAATTCAGTGACGAGGAAACCAAAAGTAGATTCCAGGAACAACTGAGGTCACACTTAGGTTGTTCTGAAAACAAGGATGACCGAGATGTTGCTTGGAAGGATATACGAACAGCTGTGAAGACAGCAGTAACATATATTAGTGATTTGAACCACAGGACTACGAGAAACCAATGGATTTCTACTAAGTCTATTGCACTGATGGGTTCTCGTAAACTCATTTCATGAGGCTCTGAACACGATAAAGAGCGAAAACAAGTGACATATAAGTTAAACAAAAGTCTAATGAACGAACATGAGCAGTGGTGGGAAACGAACGCAAAAGAGCTGACAAAGAAGGCGCCTGTAGGTAAAACAAAACAGCTCTTAAGACTAATAAAACAAACTGAAATTAATAAGTCAAGTGTGTGTCAGTCAGTAAAAACGTAGAATTTCGTACGTACGCACATCGGTTCGAGTTGCCACACCACATTAGCACAGAGATGCAGTTGTCGATTCAAATACCATAGTCGTAGGGGTAGTAAGAGTATAAGCAGTAATCGGAAAGATTAAGGTTTAAAGATGTTATTCAAGGAGTATAATCCAATGAAATAAATTTGGAAAGAGGAAAACAAAAAGGGACATGATAAATTCAGAAGATTAGAATTCAGGGGAACATAAAGAGTGGATGCACCTGCACCATTGCAAACGATTTTGAGTCATGTCATTCAGGGTCTCTAACCATCGGTTGCTATCGTCTCTCAGATCCCAACCAGGTAGTCTACACCTACGAACATGGCTCAGTCCACTTGTCAGTGACTTCATAGATTTGTGCCATGTTTTGGTCTGACCTCCCCTAGCTTTCTTCCAACCTACTCCTACACCACAAAATATCGCTCGTCGAGGCGGTCGGTGGTTGGACATACGTAACACGTGTCCCAGCCATCTCAACTGATGAAGTTTCATTACTTCATCAATTGGTTTGCCATCCTTACCTAGTACCCGTTTCCTTACAACTGCGTTACTTACTCGATGGTCCCAGAATATACAAGCAATGTTTCGAAGACGCCTATGATCAAATACTAGTAACCTATGAATGTCCTCTACTCTTACCGGCCATGTTTCACTGCAATAAAGTAGGACGGAATGAACTGCTGCACAGTAAACCCGTCCTTTTGTTGGTAGATGGATATTTCGCCCACGCCATAAATGACGCAGGTTGGCAAAAGCTAGTCGAGCCTTTTGTGTCCGTGCTGAGATTTCGTCACACACCAGACCACAAGGGCTGATGAGACTTCCAAGATAAGTGAAGCGGTCGACACGCTCAACTACTTCACTCCCTATCATTAGTTCGGGTGTCGATGCTACCCAATCCTGGAGTAATATTTTGCATTTCGAGAGGGAGAATCGCATCCCGAACATGCTTGCATTGTTGTTTATAGTGGGCAGAAGACTCTGCATTTTGTCAGCGTCTTCACCAAATAGAACTGTGTCATCAGCATATTCTAGGTCAAAAAGGGAATCTCCCGGTAGAAGTTCAACCCCTGGAAATTTAGATGAGGAAGGTGTTATCTCTAAAAGCACGTCAACGACAAAGTTAAACAAGAGTGGAGAGAGTGAACAGCCCTGACGAACACCACTTGAGGTGTTCAATTCTGATGACAGTTCGCCATAAGCTCTCACTCGACCAGTTGTGTTCGAGTAGAGAGCCTTTATAAGGTAATGTGCTTCTTTGGTACTCTTTTCCGTGGCAAACACTGCCATAGAACTTCACGATCAACCGAGTCAGATGCCGCCTTAAGGTCGAGAAATACTACGATTGTGGGACGTCTGAATGTGTGTCTATGTTGTAGGCCCTGACGTAGTGTGAATATTTGGTCTATACAACCACGTCCAGGTCGAAAACCAGCCTGCTCTTCACGAGCTTTAGTTAGGCGTCGAAGTATTATTGAAGCTAATATTTTAGACACTATATTTGTCAAACTGATTCCTTTGTGATTGTCTCAAGAGGACATTTGTCCTTTCTTATAGACTGGCACGATCAGTGATTGAGACCAGTCAGATGGGATTACGTCCAGTTCCCAAATTCTACCCAAGACCTCAGTCTATCTTGCTGCTAATACTGGACCGCCATCCTTAAAAATCTCAGGAGTAAACCTGTCAGGGCCTGCTGCTCTCCCACACTTCAGATTTCCTGTTGCTTTTTCAACTTCATAAAGAGTCGGAGGCTAGTTGAGCTGATCCCCAAAGTGTTCTGCCCATCGATCCAATCTCCTGAATTGAGAATGTATAATATGTCCGTCTTTTTCGGAGATATTTTCGCTAACAGTCGGGTTCCTAATACCGGTTTCCTTAACAAGCCTGAACAGTTGTCTGCTGTTACCTATTGCCACTGCCTTCTCCATCTCTCTTGCGTTCGCTACCCACCACTGTTCACCATCATTGCGTATGGTTATTATCAGTGTAAGTGAGACTTTATCGAGAAAAAAAACGACACTGTTATCTTTTCCGAGTCCAAACGTTCAGAACGATGGGCGGGACATTTATTCAACAGTTCAGCCACTCTACAAATACCTACCATTTATAGACAGCGTGAATGGATCATTCAAGTAGGTCCATCGTATCTAGCCGAAGTTTCAAAGGCTGTTGCTAGTCTGAAACGAGGAAAAGGAGCTGGTCCAGATGGATTGGCTCCAGAGGTCTATAAGGATGGTGGTTTAATTTTAGCGATTAGGTTGACTAATATTTTAGCTAGAATCTGGGAGTTAGACGTTATTCCATCTGACTGGTCGCAATCACTGATTGTCTCAATAAATAAGAAGGGGTTAAACTCATCCTGTGCTAACCATAGAGGGATTAGTTTGACTAGTATAGCATCTAAAATACTAGCCTCAATAATTATCAGTCGCCTAACTAAGACTCGTGAACTGCAAACATGAGAAAATCAGTCTGGCTTCAGACCTGGTCGTGGCTTCATCGACCACATATTCACCATTCGTCATATTCTAGAACACAGGTATACTTATCGGGGTCTTCCTTGACTTAAAAGCATCATTTGGCTCTGTTGACCGAGATGTTCTGTGGCATTGTCTGTCATTGAAACGTGTATCTCAGAAGTACATAAACCTTTGTGAAGGCTCTTTAATCGAACACTACCAGTCGAGTCACAGTTTATGGCGAACTGTTATCTGCTTTTGCAACCTCAAGTGATATCCGTCAAGACTGTCCACTATCTCCATTTTTGTCAAAATTCATCATAGACCTAGTGATCGACTGAATTCTCGGGCATTGGTCTCCTACCAGGAGGTTCACTTATCGACTCAGAATACACAGATGACATAGTCCTGTTTCGTGAAGACACTGATAAAATGCAGAGTCTTTTGGTAGCACTGAACAACAATGCTAGAATGTTTGGGATGCGTTTCTCTCCCTCTAAATGCATATTGTTGCCTCTGGACTGGCCTACATCAACACCTGAACTAATGATAGGGAGTGAAGTAGTCGAACGCGTTGACAACTTTACTTATCTTGAAGTCTAATCAGCCCTAATGGGTTGGTGTCTGACGAAATCTCAGCACGGATTGAGAAAGCGCGTTTGGCTTTTGCCAACTTACGTCACCTATGTCGTAGGCGAGATATCCGTCAATCAATTAAGGCCCGAGTATACTGTGCAACAGTTTGTTCTGTTCTACATTACGGTTGCGAAACGCGGTCATTAAGAGTAGCAGATACTCGTAGGTTGCTAGTGTTTAATCGCAGATGTCTTAGAAATATTGCTTGCATTTTCTGGGATCGCCGGGTAAGTAATAGTGAGGTTAGACGCAGAGTATTAGGGAATGATGGTAAATCGGTTGATGAGGTTGTAAATATCATTAATTGAGATGGTTGGGCCACTTGTTACGCATCGCTGAACACTGATTACCAGAACGTGCAGTACTGACCAGTGTTGGGGATGGTTGGAAGAAAGTTAGATGTGGCCAAAAGAAAACGTGGCATCAGTGCTTGAATTCATTAACTTCTAATCTGAGCCATGTTGTTAGATGCAGACTACTTGGTTTGGGTTGGCGTGACTATCGTAACGGGTGTTTGTAGACTGGGTAACATGGCTCAGATCGATCACAATGGCTTAGCTGTATACTCTCTCTGTCTTCGTTTAAACTATGTGATTAAGATCGCTTCATATCTTTCTTTCTACGAACTAATTCTTTATCTCAGTATTATATCCTTATACACAATCTTTTTTTATATATTACCACCATTGAATTGACTACTTCTATGGATCCGGTGTCTATCTTGTTGTGCTAATGAGGTGTGGCAACTTGAATCGATGCATTTATGTGCCTGGTCCTACGTTGTAGCTGACTGACTTTAAATCAATTACCCATGAGTGAAAGGCAGAACCAATCCGCTTGTAAACATCGTCATAGAATGTGTTTAGGTTGCAGTCTTTTATCTGGTCCTTTCATAAATGATTAAGATATCATGATATGAGAAGTCAGTTTGGAAGATTAAATTGTGTTCACCTGTCTTGCCTATGGTGTTTTACTAATAAAAAAGTTTGTATTCGTGCTAACTTTTTCGAATATGTCCTATTTCTCAACCGTCTCTTCTTACAAATACTTTTAGCCTTTAGCCGAATACTACAATGGTAATTCGACTACCAAAATAACTGTAAAGAGGGTTCTTCATCGAAGTCAAGCAATTCGTGAGCGACACAGACCTACGTTTTTGACCCTTTTCCGAAACCGATCACTTCCTAGCTGTGTAGACAGTGATTGCTCGTGTTTGGAATCCTGTTCATTCGTCCTTTATCCTTCAGATAATGGTGTCGATGAAGTCTCTGATTTTCCTCACAAGGCGAAAAGTTCCAAGAGTCCTTCTGGTCCATTTGTTTCTCTACATTCTACATTCATTTAGTCTCTTTCTATTTTGCCATGATGATTTATTTTCCAAGTCTGTCAATGAATAACGTATTTTCTCTGTGATTACTATCTGTTCTATTTTAACTATTTAGGTTGGACGCATTTATTATTATTTTTAGGTAATTTTTGATGGTCAATCTTACATAAATCTTTTTAACACCTTGTCTAGCACATAGTATCTGTTTTTTTTCCAGATATATTTTATTTAATGCATCTGTGTCTCTCTTACTTCACATTTATTATGTTTCAAAATTACATTTGTAATCTATTTTGAAAATAGTTATTTGTTCTGAAAGCCTTGCATGTTACATGTGTGATGTTTTCTGTATTCAAAATTTGTATAATATATTACCTTTTTAATGACTACAATGAATTTGCTTCAGAGTCTTTCGACGTGTCGTTCTACTACCGCAACAACTATTATTTTTTATTTTAATTGTGTAATTTGGCCTGCTTTTCATTTTTCAATTCTATTCTTGTATATCTTTCCTAAGTACTGGACGGACTAGAAAGGAATTTCTAGAGATGAATATCTATATATAAATCGTCACAAACAATCTTATATTTGCTATTAGGTCAAGGAAATTTTGTCTTTTTAGACTCTGTAAATTTTTTGATCTCATTTTTTCTCTTATACTAAAGTAATAATATGATATATTCTGAATAAATACTTGTACTATGGTTTTGTCTCAAAGAAAACTGTTTATAATATCCAAAGTACAGTGTAATAAATATCAGTTAATGAAATGTGACTTTGGTTAATTAAGTTCTCAAAGTTTGTTTAATAACTGATTCATTTAGCATATGCATCTATTGGAAAATAAAGACATATATATCGGTTCATCCTTTAGTATTTAACTTACCCATATGTACTACTATTTTATTTCGAATATGTTCTCGAAGCCTTATCTGGAGCTTTGTAAATACGATTAGATACACAACTCTCATTTATACCTACAAAGTATTATGATTAAAATGTCATCGGTAACATTATTCTGTTCTCTGATAAATTACTGATTCCATTCATTTAAAGCGTTTTGTTACTGACTCTGTAAAGAGAATGTCAGTGACTGTGGGTTTTTTAAAAAAAAATCCTTACATGAAATATGAACATTTATCCATAGTTTATTAGGCGAAAACATCCCTTAATATTATTAATCATAAAGCTTGTCGATAAAGGTGTGCAATAAACTAGTGTTACTAAAAAGTTATGAGGTCTATATACTGATCCTTTACTGTGAAAATCTATCCACATGGATTCTGTGGTTGAATGGTCATTACGACATAATTATCAAAGTATTCGGTTGGGTAGAAAATGTGCGGGAAATCAAGATTTTAGTAAAACATGCTTTTAAGAATTAAATATAACAAAAAAATTATGACATTTTTTCTGAGCAATATTCAGTGAAAGTTGTCAGTAGAATTTAATTCATCCACTTTAACAAATAGGAATTACTGGCACTGAAGTTGTGAATAGATTCATCCGTTCATATAGGACGATAACCATCTGAATATTGAAGGCTCAAGGTTATATCAAAAAGTTTGGAACACAAGACTGAATATGTTTCAGTTGCGTTTTTCACTGTATGCCTGATGTATGAATAAAATTTTAAAGTGGAGCTGTCATACATAGAACTATCGGAAAATTGACTGATTTCATGCATAATCACAGGTAACGTAAAATAACAGAAAATACAACAGAAGAATAACAACATGAGGTTATTTAATTTGAGGTCAATAGTCAAACGCTTTGGCATATCGGATAATCTGTGTTTTGTATGGCTTATCGCTCTTTTAATTACATTATTGCAATATGAGATTTGGAGGCACTTGGGTTTTTCCAAATTTGGGATATTGAGAAGCCTGTTTAAGTAAAAAAATTGGATATCTTAGCAGATTTAACTGCTTATTATTGTAATCGGAAACACAAAGCTAATTGAAACATTATTACTGCGCGAATATTATTTGGTGTCTAAGGACTGAAGAAGCCGTGGAACTCACCTTTGCCTTCAGGGTTCTAAGAATCGCTGCCACCATCAACGTATGCCCTTGCATTTCCCGCTGCTCCATGTCTTGACTAAATGCAGTTTGCTCACTCACAACTTAGACTCCCCATAAATTAATGTCTGGGTCCCTGAATTGTCAGGGTTAGTTGAGTTAGAAAGTGCCTTATTACAGACTGCTTAGTGTCTTTCATGGCCATCATCCTGCTGTCTAGATCAACCTACACCTTTTGTAGTATCGCGTTAGACACCATAACGAGACGTTCCCTTCTTCAAGCTGCCCCACTTCTTCGGAAAACAGTCCAATTGCCTGTTCGGTGTTAGAGAAAAGGTTATAAGTTTATCCTGATACATTCTAATTATTCGCTTTGCTCGGCGGAACTAGATATTCTGGTTATACTGAAGGGAACAAGCACTAGACAGTACCACCAGTCTGCCACCCCTATATTCACGTTATACAATCGATTTGTACGTTCGAATCACTATAGTTCTGTAGCAGGGTTTACTCTGGGTTGTTTTCGGAAGTATAATCCACCATTTTTGATTATCAACGTTTACACTTCCTCTCCGGCCTGACAATGCACACGAGAAAAAGTCACATGCATACGTCACGGGATAGACCGGTAAGGTATCTATTCTGTTTCTTTAGAACCATATTCTCAATGTTAAACCTTCTACAACATCATTGCTGCAACATTATTTCAACTCCATTACTATTCATGTTTTATATTCGTTTCGTCGTTCTAATTTGGTATGGTCACTTGGACCCGTGGACATTTTTGCCAGGTCCTGCATTGATCATGACTGACTGACCAAGGCAACAGAGTGCATAAACAAGGGAAATAGAATGTTATGTAATTCTGGAAAACTGTAACCTCCACCTTCATTTTGGCTTTGGATTTTTTAACATCTAATGACTAGCGCATATAGTGAATTTATTGTTCCGTGTTTCGCTTGACTAAGTTTTTTTATGAGGCTTTTAAACTTATTTCATTGTCACTAACTTAGTGTAAAATAATAACCACGTAATGATTTCATACACATAGCGCCTATACACACAGCTTCACAAATGAAAAAAACATTATAATAATCATATTCCTAACTAACATTTGAGAGCCTCTCTTAGATTTCTGGTTAGGTGAGTTTCGAAATTTTAAATTCATCTCCATATTTGAATATTGTGACAACGATTGCGTTTCGTTTTGCGAATTACTTTCTTTAAACGAGTACGTATATCCATCAGTTGTATCATTGAACGTTTTTTCCTACAAAAGAGGGTTCGGTATGTTATTCCAACAATAAATTATATCAAATAAGTTAGGAGATTTATTCTAGTTTAGTTACGTATGAAATTAATGTTACGGAAAACAGTTTATCAGCATGTTAAGGTCTTACACTGATTTATTAACAGAGAAGTGGAGTGTTTCCCAAAATTTTAGTCTGAAAAACTGATTATCAATGGGGTATAATATTGATGTTCCTTGATAACGAATAAACAGAATATTTCTCCCACATTGAAAAAAATCAAACAAAAATATGGTATCAATCAAGTTACATTGCAATGCCGTGTGGATTCTATCTTTCGAAATGCAGCGCCTAGTATTTGTCGAGAAATACTTCAAAACCATGATTATCATTTGATGGTGAGTACTTGGTTTCTATTTTCTTTCCTTTGACTGATGAAATTTACGAAGTTACAAGCATTACAAATTATCTATACACAGCTAGTGTGAATAGATATCTTCAGTTCTTCCTTAAAATTATTATCCCTTTTTGACTAAGCATCAATTTTAGCTGATTTCAAAGTTAGCTCATACGATTCATCATTTTAGTACTAGTATTTATTTAATGAAAAAACACTTCCAAGATTGATACCTTAAAACCAAACTCCCTTGAATTTCAGTAATCATTTACCAAGTGATTTCAGCCTAAGCACAGCTTCGGAAATCATATAAATATTTCTTTAAAGTCTTAGTTACGCTGACAATATTCTTCAACAGTAAGTTTAATTTATATTTCCTATACGACGTTTGCTTAACTTGCCTTACGAACAAAATATTTACATATTCATCAGTTAAATGCATCCACTGAAAAAAAATCATACCAATGAAGTGTAAACACATCTATTACCAAATCTTCATAACTCTCGTTCCCCGAAGCAGCATGGAATGATATACGAAAAGCTGTGGAAAGAGCGGTGATATCTGCTAGTACGGTAAACCACAAGGTTAGGGAGCAACACTGGATCTCAGCAGCATATACCGCACTGATAGATGCTCAAAAATTCATTCCATCTGGCTATGAAAATAACGAAGAGCGGAGTCAGCTTAAGCGCAAACTGATAAGAAGCCTACGAAATGATGGTGAACAGTGGTGGGTAGCGAACGCAAGAGAGATGGAGAAGGCAGTGGCAATAGGTAACAGCAGACAACTGTTCAGGCTTGTTAAGGAAACCGGTATTAGGAACCCGACTGTTAGCGAAAATATCTCCGAAAAAGACGGACATATTATACATTCTCAATTCAGGAGATTGGATCGATGGGCAGAACACTTTGGGGATCAGCTCAACTAGCCTTCAGCCACACTTCTGTTTCCCACGATCTCTAGTCAACCTGAATGGCAAGTTAATGTAGGTCCTCCGACTCTTTATGAAGTTGAAAAAGCAACAGGAAATCTGAAGTGTGGGAGAGCAGCAGGCCCTGACAGGTTTACTCCTGAGATTTTTAAGGATGGCGGTCCAGTATTAGCAGCAAGATAGACTGAGGTCTTGGGTAGAATTTGGGAACTGGACGTAATCCCATCTGACTGGTCTCAATCACTGATCGTGCCAGTCTATAAGAAAGGACAAATGTCCTCTTGAGACAATCACAAAGGAATCAGTTTGACAAATATAGTGTCTAAAATATTAGCTTCAATAATACTTCGACGCCTAACTAAAGCTCGTGAAGAGCAGGCTGGTTTTCGACCTGGACGTGGTTGTATAGACCAAATA